GTCATGTAACACAAAACTGTGATAGTATGTAACACACAAAACTGTGTTAGTCATGTAACACAAAACTATGTTTGTCATGTAACACACAAAACAGTGTTAGTATGTAACACAAAACTATGTTTGTCATGTAACACACAAAACTGTGTTAGTCATGTAACACAAAATTATGTTAGTCATGTAACACAAAACTATGTTAGTCATGTAACACAAAACTATGTTAGTCATGTAACACAAAACTGTTAGTCATGTACGTAACACAAAACTGTGTTAGTCATGTAACACACAAAACTGTGTTAGTCATGTAACACAAAACTGTGTGAGTCATGTAACACAAAACTGTGATAGTATGTAACACACAAAACTGTGTTAGTATGTAACACAAAACTATGTTTGTCATGTAACACAAAACTGTGTTAGTCATGTAACAAATGAAGCTATGTTTGTCATGTAACACACAAAATAGCATTTTTTTCATGAAACACTGGAACAGTCTATACCTGGGACAGTTTGTAATGGGTTATTTCAAGGTCACACCTGAGTCAAATATTTGGAAAATTTTAAGCTCTATTTTGTTAAGAACCAGAAGGTCTAGAGCGAGAATAATGATTGTTGAGTATCTGAAGACAGATTTAATCTCTTTTCATTTCTCCTGCATGAAAGACCCTGTTTGAGCTGATGCTGTGGTGTGGTGTCTGACCTTCTGGCCATCATCCATCCGCTCATTTAACTTTTCCTTTAAAACACTACTTGTCTACAACATCTGGGGGCAGAGGGGTATTTTATGTCCAATAAGTGAAATGGTGGTTAAACATTAAAAAAACCTTCTTCTGCAGGATAAAGGTAGTTGTCAAAAATGGCTCCGGAGCATGCTCGGAACAAAAGGACTAAATTTTGTATAATCTGAGATTATGTCCCCCTTGAAGGCAGAGGTCAGGAATTGGACATTGTGTCCCCCTCAAGAATTTGAATAAAGAGGGTAAAGAACTTCATATTTTCAAAATTCATTTAAACCTGACATCATGATTCTAGGTCTATCAAGGTGTTGTAAACCCTTAAAACACTTGTGAACCAAAAACCAATGGTGATGATATTTGGCCAGCAGCATGCTAAGATTAAGAGCTATAAAGTTTGTTAGAAAGAATGACTTTTCAATATGACAGCTAGGGGTCCGATATGTATAACCTAATGCCAAGGTGATGGCCAGTAGCTTGCTTGTATGAAGGGCTATCAGTTGTATTGAAATAAAAGACCTTCACACATAAAATCAAGGTCACAGGGGTCAGATGTGTTTAAACCTTTAAATGATTTCTTCCGAATACTCAAACATTCCTAGAGTGATGATATTTGGCCATTAACATGCTGGGATGATGATATTTGGCCATTA